CTCAGACTCTCTCAAATAAATTTTCAAATTTTGTGCTTAGTAGTATCACTTGCCACACAACTATGTTTTTAGCCAAAATAAGTTTATTATATTGTTGGAGATGTACATTCTTTGTTCGAAATATTACTTAAATTTGAAAAGCAGGTTTAATTCATTTTGATTTATAATTTTATCTTACCCGTTTATATATTTAGACTTTTCTATTTATTAGCAAATTTCAGAATATCATCTAATTAATGCTATAAATTTTACATTTGAAATGGTTTAAAAATCATTTAAACATTATAAGACCTTAGAGTTAATTAATGAAGCAGTGTTAGACATGGAGATGTCTTAACAGAATATGAATATTTCAGTTATGGAATTGAGTATAAATGTTAGTCTTGTGTTAAAACCACCACCCAAGAAATGGACCAGTGGCAGTAGTCATTTTGGTTACAAAAAGGTCAGACGTTTGCACAGCAATATTGTAAGGTTGGTGCGGAATCTATTCATAGTAGAACAATAAAACTCTGCTCGTGCTTCTGAACATGATACGAATTACATGTTAACATGCTAAAATACAGAACTATGGTGAATATTGCCAGCATCAGCGTGGGAAGAAAGCATGTTTTTGGAAAACTATGGTGCCAATCCTCTACTACTTTGTTAAATAGATTCTAATGTACACAATTTAGCCTTTTCTCAATGATTCAGAATCATTTAAAAATTAATAGAAGTATTTTACATAATAGTAAGAATTATTTTGAATTTTTTTTTTGAAGGATCCTCCCCTGTGGCCCTGGAACTTTATTAAATAATTCCCTGGTGTTCACTAAACTCACTTTTCTTGTGTCACTTTCCCTAGAGCACAGTCATACTTGTCATTCACGCCTCTGCTGCCGAACTGTTCTGTGGCTAATCTGTTAGCTTGGGATAATGCTTTTAAGGTTTTTGTTTTTTTTAAATAAAATAGTGATTTCTGCATTTTCTATAAACATTAACAAAGTTTGCTAGAATCATCACTGGTCTTAGAATGGAACAGAAAATATACATTTTTTATCCTTATGCTGTATCTCCACGAAGCGATCTGTTCTGTAAAACTGAACATTTGATCTGTTCCTGCAGGGTTCATGCTGGAGCCAGATCCAGAACGTAGACCTGATATATTTCAGGTGTCATATTTTGCATTTAAATTTGCCAAAAAGGATTGTCCAGTCTCCAACATCAATGTAAGTAGTTTTTCATGTAGTGTATGAATTTAAAGTCCGTTTTTCCATATGCGGTTATATATACCTTCGGAGTTGGTGACGTGTGTGGTTGTGTTTTTGGTATAGACCCCCAGTCTCCAGACCGTGCGCTGAGGCACCCTGGGTGCTGCAGCAGCTCAGCGGTCCCTGCCAGATAGTTCGCATTTTTGAGGAGAACAGTGACATCTGTTTGACACAGCACAAACTAATTTGAAGTTATTTGGGCCTAACCATTTAATAAATAGGACAATCAGATTTTTTTTTTTTTTTTTTTGCATAGATGTGCTGTGAAAAATTACTGAGACACTAACTACTCTGTTAAGTGAGAAAGTGGAAACTTTGGGTGTAAAATACACAGGCGTTGTAAACAGACCTGGGTTCAATTCCATCTTTATCAGTGCAGATTTTATATTTTGGGGAGTTACTTAATGTCTGTTTCTTTTTCTGTAGAACAAGGATAGTAGTTATAAGGATCACATGTAAAACCCAGTGCCTAGTCCATGGAAGGCGCTTAGTTGCTAATACCTAACGTCACTCAGGGCTTTGAATTCTGTCCCCTGCCTGCACGGTGCACTTAGCTGTTTCAGATGAACCGTGTGTGGCAAGTCTCTGCTAATTTTAAGGAAGGTGGCTAGAATCATCACCGATTGTAAGGCATTCTCAACTTCGTAAAGATCATTCTGGCCTGACTTATTCTTACAGGGTTTCCTTTATGTATAAGTTAATTCACCCAGTCAGAAAAAAGAAGAAATATGGCACTTTTTTTTGTTTGTTTTTTGAAGGCCTTACCGTATTAACGTAATGTTTTCTCTGTTGAAGCTGAAAGTTTTGCAGTTCTAAAATTCTAGTAATGAAAGTAGATTTGACTGTGGATTTAAGGCTTTTTATTCAGCAAATACTTATTGAGTACCTACGAGCCAAACGTTGGGCATAAACAAATGAGGAAGGCCTTCTACCCACATTTTCTAGACTGTATTCAGTGTCATGAAAATTATCTGTAGCGTTTAGGAAAAAATGCTTTATTCTTTTCCTTGGTGTTAGCTGCTTTTTCCAAAATGCAAAATAGTCATTGATTTACACTATAATATAATCTTTCTTTTTACCCAAGATTTACCCGTTTGTCAGTGGACACGATGATGTTTTCCTGCTTATTTTCTAAGGGTTTCTGTGGAACATGAATGTGAAAGTGACGTTTGTGCAACGTGCAGTGATCTCTGCAGATTAGATCTGGCAGATACCTGGGAATCATTTATAGATATCTCATGTGAAAGTGATAGTAACTCACAGTACTTTTTAAGTGCGATAATATATTCATAGTTTTAAAAAAGCTTTCTGAAATTAAGATAAAAACTGAAATGAAAAGTTTTATTTTTTTCTTCCAAGAATTCTTCTATTCCTTCAGCTCTTCCTGAACCGATGACTGCTAGTGAAGCAGCTGCTAGGAAAAGCCAAATAAAAGCCAGGTAGGCAAAGCTGTGCTAAAATTGAAAAGGCATTTAAAAACAGAAAGTTACAGTTCTCATTTTTTAATCCTAGCAAATCCCTCCCCCGCAAAATGTTGTGTTGCTTATTGCATGTGGTATAGTTTAGCAAGTACGAAATAAGCCTTTTAAAATACTAGATACAGGGTTTGACGTCAGTCTCACTTGAACTGTTCACTCTCAGCAATGAAGAAGTGATTGTTTGACTGATGATGTTACAGTGAGTCTTTGGGGGGAGGGGCTTGTTATTTTCATCCCATAGCAACTCTAATTTAGGAACTTTTATGTTTTGAGTTTGTAGCTAGTATTCTAATTTTTAAGTTTAAGGAAAAATTATAGCTCTTATAGGGAACCAGAATATGTAGAATGTGTATGTGGTTTGTAGAATTTGTAATGAGTGGTTGTAACTATAATACTTTTTAAGACTGGTGAAGACGTTGGTTGCAGTGGCTCATGCCTGTAATTCCAGCATCTTGGGAGGCCAAGGTAGGATTGCTTGAGGCCAGGAATCGAGAGCAGCCTGGGTAACACAGCAAGTCCTGCAAGTCCTAGCTACTTGGGAGGCTGAGGCAGGAGGATCTTGAGCCCAGGACGTCAGGGCTGCAGTGAGTTATGATTGTGTCACTACACTCAAGCCTAGATGACAGAACAAGACTATGTCTCTTAAATAAACAAACAAACTGGTGAAGAAATGTGCCTTAAATGTTGTTTTTCATAGTTATTTACTGTATTAATAAGTTTGAAATGTATTACATAGGTTACGACCTGACTCTGTTAATGATTGATTCCCCCCCTCCACCCCCGGATGCTTTTTCTGAACTTAAAAGTTAGCAAATAAGACTTGGATTATCAGGCAGGTATAATATTGCATTTGGGAGATTTCTTGTTCACAGCTTTTTTCTATGGTATCTTACTTTTGCAAAGTTTTTTATTTGACATAAAATGTAAAAAGTGTATCTGTCACATACCTTTTATATGAAGGAAATAGATAATGGAAACACAAAGAAAGGAGCAGTCTTTATTTCCAAGGAGTTCAGTACTAATTGACAATTGTAAGCTGATAGATGCCAGGCCATTGTGAGAGCGCGTGAGGAAGGGAAGGCTGGGCAGAGAAGAGAGCACAGAGAATGCTTCCTGGAGGAGGGCGTTGCTGCACTCTCCCCTGCAGGACGAACAGTCACCTGGAAGGGTGGGGACTGAAACTGTAGCAGGCAGGCAGTTCAGGCAGGACGGCCCTTGTGACACTACCAGGCTGGCGCAGCAGGGGACGTAGACTGAAGTGGTGGGAGCTGAGGCTGGATTGGTAGACACTCGCTGGTCGTGAGCAACTTTGTGTATCATGCCCAGAAATTTGGACTTTGGCCGTGAGGCCCAGTGAGTTTTTCAACCTTCCTGTAAATTCTCCTGTTTGGGACTTGGTGTGATTAGGTGTTACAAATGATCTGTTACTTACAAATTGTGAAAATATTTGTGAATGACTTGGTTTTTAAAAAAATGTGGCATCACTATAAAAATACCTTCATTCACTTGAATTTCCAAATGTTCTCTTGAGAGAGGGAGAGGAAGGAGCAAAGTTACACCTAACGTCAGGAATGCAGCATGACCAACAGCCTGTCTTATCTATGCTGTAGTTGAGTGGTGATTATGAATTACTGTAGGATTTGCCAGCTGAATTTTATTGCTTGTGTTTTTTATAATGTGTCGATAATTAAATCTTTAAGAAGCTAGGTGCTGGTTTTTTAAAAAAACAGGAATCAACTGGACAAGAATGATAATTTAAGTATCTTTTCACCAGGGCACAAGTAATAGCTATAAAATTTTAAGCCAATGAAATAGTGCTATTAAAGTGTTTGTGTTAAATCTGTACATTATATTAAAAATAAGGTTCATTGGTGCTTATTGATCACTACATAAATTTATTCTTTATGAATAGTATCAGTGAAAACTTTAAAAGTCTGAATGTGTAACAAGCTTAATATTTAAAAATTCAGTTAAATTTTTTTTCCCTGTAAAAGGCATATTTTAGGGATGAGAAATCTTTTAATAGCTAGTTTCGTTATTCACATGTTTTCAAAAAGCTTTTATGGGTATTATCCACTGCCTTGCCTTCAATCTGTGGCGCTCTTTGCTGCTTTAAAGTTTCCTTCCATCTCCCCAGACTTTGCATCTGCTCTTGGGACTGTCAAACATGTGAAATTTATCTGACATGTATCTTAAAGAAGGAAACACTGAAGGATTTTGAGCAGGAGAGAGAGTCTGAGTTTTAGGAAGATTGTTCAGGTGACAGTGAGGAGGAAAGAAAAGGGAAGCAGAGAAGACGGGGCTCTGACGGTTGCCGGAGCGCAGGGGAGGCCGGCAGCAGTGTGCACGCAGTAATTCCTGTCTTTAATCTGAGTCCATTTGTGTCTTCATTCGGCCTAATATATCCAGGCTTTTTCCTCCTAGTTTCTTTTTCTCCGTCCAATGGAATCAAATTTATTTTAAAAATTATAGTCCCCAATTCCTACCTGAAACCTTCTCTAGCCGAATTAGGCTAAAGGTACAGTTACTCCTCCGTGAAACTCTTGACGGCACTAGCATGGCGATGATTGTTTTTACTGTCTTTTATTTTGTTTTATTTTCACTGTGTGCCGTATCTTCCTAAGTAGATCGTAGATTCTTTGAAAACAGGGTGTTGTGCGTTGTTTTGCTGGATATCAGTAAATGTGCAATAGATATTGGTACCTTGGCAAAATAAATTAGGAGGCGTTAGATTGAACAAACTCTACAGACTTTTAATATGCTTGTAAGAGCTTTTGTTATGCTTATGTGTGTTGTGAATCTTTAAAGAGCAATTTAGGCCAGGAACGATCGAAGGTCAGGGCTGGCCAACACTACCCGCTAATAAAGAATAGATATTTAAACAGAAAGATTGTATATAGTATTTCCCCCAAATTACTTGAACTTACGCAGTACAGCATTGGATTTAATGCCGCATCAATAATTTGAAGTCAGTAAATTCTCGATTATCATTAAAATGAAATATAATTTATTATATGTATATATTATTGCCTATTCGTTCAGTTTTCATATGAATGGTGTCATTTCCATCTCATCTAAAGCATAAGTGTTATTTTCAACAAATAGCGTATATACAATATATTTCACTGATTTTCTAAAATCTTTTGATTCAGTTTCACTTCTTTTGGAAAAACAGTTGTTAACAGGGCTCCCTCTTGTGGTCCGTGCAGATATTAGGGAGAACGAGGTCTGTGCCGCTGCAGGTAGACGCAGGTGCACAGATGTGTGCTTGATAAATCATGCAGAAATTGTGAGAGTTAAATCACTTGGAAATGTGGTAAGGGAACTTAATACAGAGATTTTATTGCAAATCCTGTTGGAAAGTGAACATACGGCCCTATTAAAAAGTATGTGAGTTTTTGTAATTTACAGAAAACAAAGCTGATATTTTACTTGTCTTTCTTTTTGAAAAAGAAAAGCAAATGTCTTTGTCTTCTCAAATTATATTTACTGTCTCTTGATTTCAAAACTGTGCTTATCACTTAACGACCCACATCTGGGGCCTAAACTAAGTCCTAATGGGAAAAGTTTTGCATAATTTCTATTCAGTGTTTTAAGTAAAGAGACTTAAAGATTCAAGAAGTTGAATGGGAGCAAGTGGTTCCACCTGTTAAATGTTTTGGCTTCTTTTGTTTTACATGCCATAGGGCACAGTTTGTTTTTTTAAAAATGCCTCGAGTCCAAGCTAGGAGAGATTATTTCTTGTTGTTTCTTATTTTTATTTCTCTTATTGATTCACAGAATTGTCTCTCAGTTTTGTCTAAAACCATATGAAAAGTTCTCTGTTTTTTTCCTTTCAGCATCATTTTATCACCTTAAGAACGATATCTGGGACTATACTCTTTCTGCCAGCTTTACTGGCAGGCTATGAATGGTAGCATACTATTTTAAGGACAGTGGTTAGTTTTATTTTATCTGCTTCCCTATCTTCATTAAACATTTAATACCTGAGAATGAGACTTAGGAGGGAGCCAAGAGGACTAGTGTGATTGATAATAATTAAAATGCATCTGTTGAATTATGTGCTTCGTAGAACAAGTAGTAAATTAGATATAATCACAGTATTTGGAATGAAATTGTTCTTCTATTATAGAATAACAGATACCATTGGACCAACAGAAACCTCAATTGCACCAAGACAAAGACCAAAGGCCAACTCTACTACCGCCACTCCCAGTGTGCTGACCATTCAAAGTTCAGCAACACCTGTTAAAGTCCCTGTTCCGGGTGAATTTGGTAACCACAGACCAAAAGGTAATACAGCCCTGCCAAGCCCATCTCCTTTATAGTGAACATAAATAAACCTCATATGGTTTGATTTCCTGGGAGTATAAATTGCTGGCAAACTTAAAATTACAAAGCAGATAATTTAAGAAACTTTCTATTTATGTCTGATAAACTCAATTGTTTTCCTAAAGTTGTAGGCAAAGGGAAGTTACTGGCAATATAACAGTATGGTACAAAAAAAAGCCCACAACTTGCTTTGATTCTATAAATACAAATTCTTATCCCTAGAGCCATCAGCTATGAGGGTCTGAGGTTGGTAATAAAGTCTAAGGTTGCAGAAAATTCTGTGTTGTATTGGAAAAGAGGAAGTTGAAACTGTAGCTTTCCAAAGTTACCTGTCTTCTCACTGAACGTAGAGCTTTGACAAAGGCAGTTGTCTTGAACCGTGTGGACATTACAAAATAAAAGCTTGTCCTCTTATCTGATTTTGAGAAAAATTGTTTTTCTAATCTAAAATATCTCCTAAGTGTTATGATACAGTGTGACACTTAAAAAAATTTCCCCCAAGGAAATATTCTAATACTAGAGCATAAACTTACTCTCTCAAGATTCTAGAGGTATAACCTGAAGACCCACCTCCAGGAAACTGTTTTGTATTTTATTTCGTCATAAATCTGTTTTGTTTTAATGTTAAAATGTTTTCAATTTGGATGGTTAAGAGCCTACACTTTGAGTCTCATGAACCTGATTTGAGTCCTGTTTTTTTCCATGTTTTAGTAATATGTGTATAAAAATGTTAGTATCTGTCTTATATATCATCGTGAGGATTAAATGACTGCTCAGTGTAATACCTGATACGTGATATGCCCCTAAGAAATGTTAACTGTAAACCACTATTACTACTGTTAAGTGTATGCTCGGGAAAGATGATGTCTATTTTTATTTTATCTGGCATACTGCTATACACTTCCGTGGTAATTAGGGATAGCAGTTGGAGGAGAATTCCATGGAAAAGGGAAAATAATGGGAATTTGAAATTATTTGTGTTTTATTCCCATCTCACCATTTTTTACCCTCCTTGTTATCTTCTGTAAAATGGAAGAACAACTTTTCCTGTTATGAGGAGTGCAATAACAAGGTGTGTGGCATCTGGAAAAATTCTGTCTTATAGTAAGCATTCAGTGTTAGTTTTTCTTTTTTGGACCTTTTTGGGCTGGAGATCTTACTGATCTTATTTACTATGTATTAATATCAATATCCCCCACCAAGACCACTAGACTTGCACTTGTAGTTGAGCAGGTGGGCTCACCACTCCCAAACTCTGTGGGTCTGTGGGGTGTCTCAGTAAGACTGTGTTTCAGAAGACTTGTTAAAGGATTTGGCCTCGTTTTGGGTAATCTCGGGAGGCTTTAAGGAAGTGGGCTTTGCTCTACATTAGATCCTGTCAGGAAGTGGTGGTTTGATACGATCAGATACCTTGATCAGTCTTACCTGCTAGTAGAAGGGAAGCCAAAGCCTCAACGGCTAAAGAAGTAGCAGTCAGTCCTACTGGGCAGGGGGGTTTGGACAGTGTTTGCGCGCAGACGTGATTATGGCGTGATCCTCTGTCATGACCCATGGCAGCCAGGAGCGGCGCTGTCTGACGTCGGCGTCGTGTGCGATGAGGCGACGGGACGCCCAGAGCCGGCTGTGGGTGCCGGCCCGCTCCCGACCTCCAGGGCAATGCTTCTCTTGCTTGCGTGCTTCTAGCTTAAGCGAGAAAAATTATACTCTTTTTTCCCCATATGTGCATCTTTTAAACATTCCTCTCCCTTTAAAAATCATATAAAAAGTAACACGTGAATAGTTTCCTTTTAAAATATTCAGATGATACAGAAGTATTCAGAGAAATCTATGTCTCCCGGAGACTTAACTAGCCACAGCTTAGTGTGCGCCCTCCCGTCCACTCTCGCGTTCTTGCGTGCGTGTGTAGATGAGGCATTTCACGCTGTGCCGGACATCGTGGATTGATGCTGTGCATCTGTCTCTGGTGCTTGATGGTTTTTTAACTTGTATTTTGGAGAGCCTTACTTGTCAGTGCACACAAATCTGTGTAATTCTTTTTTTATTTTTTATTT